AGAAGAGGTTCTTCGTCAAAAGTGGCATTATTTTCCAAGGGTACATTTTACCAAAGCGTTAGTGGCCGCTTCCTTTCTATAATGATATTTGTAGATCGCACAATAGAAAACTTGTGATGACGTTGGTTGTATGATCAGAAATACGAAATAATAGTTTTATTTCTTTCACCATTGTCTCACTAAAAAAGATGTATCAAAGTATGGTCAGTAATTAGGTTAGAGAACCTCTCCAGGCATGATTCAATTAATGAGACAGTTCAGGATGGATCTTTAAGGGGCTAATTTCCCCTCATAGGAAATAAGTTCAAAGGGTTGTGAAACGATGGATCACGAATGCGTAGGCTGGTTAACTACAACTCTGCTTGCGCTATCACGAAAAATACAAGAAACCGTTCAACAGAGCCCATTTTTTTCCCTAGCCAAATGATGTTATCAGCTTTGTTGCACTTCACATTTTGAAAATCGTCGACATGTTGTTTTGTTGTGGGAAAAGGTTTACAACACTCTTCCCTCAAGCATAACCTCTTTTACAAAAATTAATTAAAAATCATCTCCCACTTCCTTTGTTTCGCTCGAGTTGTTTAATCTCGATACCTTCACAAAGCGGCTAAGGTCCAAAGGCCATGGATTGAAATTACGTCTAAACAACACGGTTTTGCATTTAGCCCGTTACTACATGCTGTGATTTCTATTATAAGCCACTTGGAAGGGTCGACAATTTGCCATTGTTCCTTTCAAACGGCGTTCCGTGAATTCAAATCGGAAAAAAGCTAAAGGCCACAAACAGCCGCGCAGGCGAAAATAACAATCGTTTCTCTCGTTCCTCGCGCCTTTTCTTTCTACACAGGATTTAAATTTAACTCACGGAATCATTCGCCATCATGTTCAACCACTTTTAGCGATTCTCTTATCAATATTTTCTGCTCAGAGGTTTATCAATTGCAATTACAAGTGGCCCAAACCGATGAAACCTTTTAGTTTGAAAGTTCTTTATTGTACTCTGCTCTTTCTCGTGGTTCAACGAGGCCGTCAAGCCACATGATGACAAACCCCAGCACTTGTCTTGCAAAGACCCAGACAGTTTATCCACTTAGTAAGACCCAAAATAGAAAACTCACTAAGGAAAAATAACCACTTTGAAACTTGATGGAGAATTTCATAGCTTTGAAAGGGTTGCATGTTAGTTTCCTAATAAAGGGTGTTGTTGCCTTGAGAGTAATTATTTTCACATGGTCGGATTAAAACGTTTCTGATTGCCATCCTTTTAGCAATAGCGTTATAATACGGATGAAAAGGGCAGCCATAATTTCTTCTTAACCAGGTCAAACTAAATTTGTTTCAAGTTTAAGTCTAATAAGCGCAAAAAGAGTTATTTTGTAGCATATCCCGGTGGCCTTTTTATTCCTTCATTCGTGCTTTTGCCTTATGATTGAAATCAAAAAGAATAACTTCACGTGTAAAGCCAGGGCCATGTCTGAAAATTGAATCAAAGACATCTGAATCGTTGTGAAGGCCAAGATGCAATCCTAACCTGCGGCGTTGACGGCATTGGAATTAGAAAGTTCATTTTTTTTTTTTTTTCCGAGAACAGCTAGAGAGTGATATATAGTTTTTGCTCCAACATGTATATCAGTAATGTTATAAAGGTCTAGAAATCGGATCAAAATAAGTTTCTTAAAATAAAGGGACTAATCCTCTTAGAAGGAAGCTCTGTTTAGTCGCAGGCTGGATCGTGCCTCAATTGTCAACCGCTTCCTGTATTTATATTCCATCTTTCTGTGAGACACTTGAAATCCTGCGGCGATTTAAACGGCGAGTACACGAAGCAAGCTTTCTTAAATTTGCGCGCACTTCTCGCTGGTTGTATTCTGGTAGGCTACAACAATAAAATCGGTGTACAGATCTTAGTGTTCAAGATGTAATTCCTCTCGGAAATGAAGTGATTAAGTTTGTATCATGGCGATCCTTCAAGAGGCGTTGGGCATATTAAAAATTCATTTGACCGCAAACGACAGATCCAAAAAAAGGGATTATTCTAACAAACCTTGCCTTCCGTTTTGCATTCATCTACAGGACAATAAGTCACATGCTCTTTTTAAGCCAACGCTGTGAGATTTGTCCTTCTGTACAAAGAAAACGGTAAAGTCAAAGGGAAAAGACAATGCATAAAACTGCTGGTTTGAGAATGTGCTTAATAAATTCCCACCGTGAACTGTTGAGCGAATGTTGTCACTGTCAGTGGTATCAAACGAGAAAGCGTTCATTAGTACGCTAAAAAATTCTAAAAATATTCAGTTTTATAAAAGACTAAGGCTTTAACTCAAAAATTGTGTGTTGACACTTCGTATGAAGTAGAAATGCGATCGTTTTTTAAACGTAGTCGTACTGCTATGATCTTCGAAAAAAACAGCCTGTCTGGTCTAAGATGTTAACTCTTACGTGTCCCTCTCGTGTTATTTTATAGAACAGTTCTCAGAAAACAAGTCACCAGTTCAGATCCAAATCGTTACCGGAATGAGTTTTGCCTTTAGCTTACGTACGCACATACTTGGTAAGTGCCAAACATTACGTCTTGGGAAAAAAGAAAACAAAACCTGTCTGGCTCCATGCGGCAAAAGAAAGTCGCGGCGTAGTTGTAAAGCTTATCATTACGTTTGTTAGCCCGTTATTTTAGGAGAGTAGTGTTTGTGATTGTAAAAAGAAGGGTTTCCTCTTTAAACCGGTCTAAAGGAAAGGCAGGGCGTTCATTGTAGCCCCTTAAATTACCAATCTGCATGGAGCATTATTCTGCCTGTTGTTGAAGGAAGCAGTCCCACAGCAGTCCGAACTATTTTATTGTACATACTGATCTCTAAAAAATACCGCTGTGTCTTTCGAGCTTCGAACGTTTGGTTTTAATGGTCCTTCAGTTTGACTTTGGATTACGTGGATAACTGCTTCCTTACGAACGTTGGACGAGAATCGCAAGAAGGGAGATCAAGGATGTTTAGAAGTACCCAAACAAGGCACTCGAGTTGACAGTCTCCTCGAGATTTTGCGGCCTTAGGCCTAGAGATGATTATCATCACAGTCATTAAATAGTTTTTTCGTATCAGTGCGTGCCCTATTTGAGAGATAAAAATCTTTAAATTACTTTTAGGTTTCTCAACGTGATTTGCGAGACGAGAAGTTTCTGAATGTGCTACGTCCAATGACAGTTTCAGGAGGTTGAATGTGCCTAGTCGTTTAACAATAAATCAAATGGTTTGATCGATTTGGTCATTCAAGAGGTAACCTGTTATCTTGCATAGCAACGTGTGCTTGTCAGTGGGAAAACATAGCGTCGTTTTTCCGACTGAATTGCTAAGCAATTGCTAAGTTAGCGATGAATTCTATGCGGCAGGCTTTGAATTGACCCCACCTACACATAACAGAGCCGGGCGTTGTGATCCGACCTCATTTCGAAGAAACTAACAAGTTATCTAACTTGATAACAAGTTCAGTCAAAAATATACCGAAATAAAACATCCATTTAAGCTGTAATCTATAATGTTTAGGGATTCAGGTATTTTATAATCCTAGTTTTAACCGAACAAAAGTTGAAAATGAAGAGCCTTTGTTTCAATCAATGGAGCGCGTAGGGAATTTCCGTTCCTATTGAGTTCGACCTCCCTGTTCAATGTGCTAGATGTATTTTTGTTACTCACAAGGACAACGCTTAGCGTCTTGTGAACACACACAGACGCACAAAAATAACAAAATATTCGTTATATTCCTCTGAGGAAAATATATTGGTGGCTTACCATCACGCTTTCTCCCACACGACTGTAATTCTTTAAATCCGTGATGGATCGCTTCAAGTGAGGTTGACACATTACCCCACGGCTCCATTCACAATTGTTTTATTTGTCTTTTTTTTTTTATCAGTAGTTCTAATTTCCTTGACAGTTTGTTCTGCAGCTAACAGTGTTTTAAGAAGAGCAAATAGTGTAGTAAAGTTTAACAAACGGAGTTAAAGTTGACAATGTATCGATACATTGATAAGTTAGCATCAGAGAATAAGACTGGAATAGAATAGCGAATGAAATAAATCAGCGAAAGGCTCTCGTTGCTTAATTAAAAACGAACCCTAAAAAAAAAAATGTCGTGTTTAACCACATAAGTTCCACTGAAAGAAAAACTGGAAACATTGCTCCGTTAAGTACAAAAAATTTTGTGTTGAGGAAGCGGGTAGAGTTTGCCAGTTCGCATGGGTGCATACTGTTCTTCTAGAGCAAGCACTGAGCATACACTTTGGTAAAGAAACATTGAGTAGCGAGTGCAATAATTTCTTGGATCTCTGCATAGTTGAAGGTAGTTTTTGTATATTAATTTAGCGTAAGTTAAAAGTATTGGTTTGTCTTTGAGCATCTGAATGTCGCATTGAAAACAATGGTGGAATTAATTATTATCCTTCCTTTTTTACACATAAAAGAAAAACAAAGCAAAAACTAGTCATTCTTGAAGAGGAACTACATTTGCAAAAACAGATTAGAATATTAGGTGAATAATTTTGACGTCCTTTGCAAAACGTTTTACGGTCATAATTAAAGGGAAGAACAAACATAAATGATCGTTTTTTTGTTTCAATTTTTGCCCCACCTAAAGAAAGTTCCCATATCTGAATGACTTTCAGATAATTTTGTTTTGCGATGATTCCTGTAGTTAGCCGAATCACAGCTAACTGAGGTAGCTTAACTCACTCTACACCACAGGAACTTAAGTCATATGGATATTCTCAATCGGTACATTATTATTGTCATGTATTCAAGCCAGGACGCCTACTATTGATAGAATCTCTAACAGAGCTACAATGTAAAACCTACAACTCATTATTCTACATACAGAATGTCCGTTACTTTGTCGAGATCGACCGTGGCCTTAGAATGTAACCGCTTTGTTTGTCTCATTGTGGTTTACTGACAACAGGACTGACCTTGAGGGAAGTTGTGTGTATAAGTTGTCTCTTTTTTCTTCCACCTCTAACACGAGTACCAGTTGGTGTTGACTTCACGTTCGCTTTGTGAACTCGAGCAGCTTTGGCTATTTGACGAACTGATCGAGAGACGAATGTGTTCCGGCGGTGAGGGGGTACTTAAATGACTCCTGTCTTGTCCGCTTGAGTCGATTAATGGCGGCGGTGAAGGCGATATTCCGTGCAACTTCATGTGTTTACGAAGAGAGCTTGGATGTGTATAGCTTTTGTTGCAGCCTTGATATTTACAGTTGTATGGCTTATCTGACGTATGGACATGGGAGTGCTTTTTCCTATCGCTTGAGTTGGCGAAACGGCGATCGCACCCGGGGAACTCGCATACAAAAGGCTTTTCGCCAGTATGAGTTCGTTTGTGAATTTTCAAATTCTCAGACCTTGCGAAAAGCTTGCCACATCCAGGGAAAGGACAAGGGAATGGCTTTTCTCCCGTATGCACTCTGATGTGGTTTACCAGCTTGTACTTAGCTTTAAACGGAAGTCCGTTACGTCCACAGTTTCTCCAAAAGCAAACATGTAGTGGAGAGTCGTTTTGGCTAACATGTTCGTCATTAATATGCCTTACTATTTCATGGATACTGGTGTATTGCTTGCCACAGATCTTGTTCTTGGGGTAGTTTTGAGGATCAATCCATTCACAAGTCATGATTTTGTTAGGTGGCTGGCTCATGAATTGAGTGAAGTGAACCTGAGCATAATTGAGAGGGCGGTGATGGTCGTAACTGTACGGTGACTGCGAGTACATGTCTACTCGCGAGTACATGTCGCCTGGCGGTGGAAAAGCGAAGGCTGGCCTTTGAGAAGTCTCAGGATCTGGCGGACCGTTCATTGTTGGATAGAAGTTGTGTCGTTTAACGTCTGGTCTTGCCTGATGCAGTGCCAGAGGGCTGAAATTGGAATGTATCGAAGGACCTTGGCATTGAGGAAATCTACCCGTTCCCGGTGCTACAGGATCGTAGAGAGGATGTCCGTGGGGACCGTGAGCTAAAGAGCTAGAACTGGGCAGATGGTCTTGACGATGAAGCGGGTAATCTCTGTTACTCAGATTTTGAGCGGCACACGCAGCTCTCACTTGACTGGTGTGTGGGGTAAATGGATAGCCGGTGGTTTGAGAGCTAAACACTGCCTTGGTGTCGGCGATAGGTTCGGGAATTCTGTGAGCCAAGCTGAAGGCTGTTCGCGCGAGCATACCGTGGCTGGGCTCCATGAACGAATTGCCAACATATGGAGAATCTTTACCGGGCTCGATGAAGTCAGCTACGGTCGGATGACCAACAGAAGCGCTCTGACTAAACATCGAAAGATTGTCCATAACATCAATGTCGGGTAAGAATTTGCTGTTTCCCTATACCTCGTAAAATATTTTGCTTCCGAGATTGTAGTGGTTTCTTTGACGAGACTATCCAGACTAGATTGATGGTAAATGATTATTTGCCCCAACGCTGTTGACTGGGCCGTCTGCATCTGTGTTTTTGAGTTCAATCACAGCTTGATGCTTGCATTATCAATCGATTGGTCCTTGCATAATTTGTTTTCGAAGCAGCTTTACGGGCCAATCATTCATCGAACAGGCTTTTCACACGCATGCTCCGACACTGATCCCGTAGGCGTCAGTTGTCGTTGTCGACTGCTGTGGTCAGACTCGCTTTTGTTGACGTTCGGAGATTACCCTAGAATATTTCAGTCCAATGCAAAACACATCAACAGACTCTCTAAAATCCATTAGTGTGAATTAGACTCAATTTAGTGCCTTTGCTTCTTTTAAGGGGTAACCACACCGCGTCGTATCGCAGTGGTGGCAGCTCTTACGCACGGGTATGTGGTGTATTGGATTCATTGACAAGCGTTCTAGGGGGCGTTAAACCTTTATTCTACATCACCTTAGGTCATCTTATAATTCAGCTATATAAGATCATCAATTATCTTCCTGCTATTCTTCGTTATGTCTCTCTAAGGAGCTCTCTGGTTTGTACTGTAAATCCCAAACTGGACTTAAGCGGATCAGGGTCGCGAGATAACGAGATACCGATCGCTTTTCATTTCCACGGGCTATTTATTTTATTCGGTGATTAACTATACCTTAATAGTTTTTAAGATTCCCGTCTGTTGTTATAGTCTTATTTTCTTTTCAATGCTTTGTTTTTTAATGGAATCCCTTTTTTCGTGCCCGTCTTATTTATTTCGATACTCATGCAAGGCTTCCGAGAAAGTGCTGACAGGCACGTTAAAGTGACTAATTGGTGCGCCCCGCCCTCATTAAGATCTTATCTCGTGTGTCACGAAAGATGTGTTCAACATTCAATCAAGACGAACCCGCAATTTTCGTTGAATGTAAACTATTTGGAAGGTATGTTGAACGCGTTTCCGAACAGAAACCGCGTCAATTCAGTACCCACTCGACGTATCTTCAGTCGCTGTGGGAAATGTTTGTTTTGGGCTAACAACGAAATCAATCTCAAATATCTTCCTGAGGTCGTGATAACCATTTAAGTACTTTAAGCCTGCAGTTTTCGTCCTCAAAATTGATTTAATAAAAAAAAAACAACAGTTTGACGAGAAAGTTTGATTTAATAAGCAATCTGCTCGCCCAGTCTATTGAATTATTCGTAGTGTTCGGAAATCAAAATATGGAATCCGCCTTAGAAATTAAGACCGCAACAACTAAGTCCGAAAAGTTTTTGAAAGCTCTGTCAATTCTCATTACCTGGGGTCAAGATTTTATTGCGTTTTATGCCAAATGAAGATATTAACGCACTAAAACTGCTTGTGTAAATACAAGTTTGCCCAATCTGCTAGCCATCTGTCCATCTTTTCCCGTTCACTAAATTTTAATACTTCCGGACATTTTTCTCTCTGGCCAGACTTTCCATTTCCGGTAATGCTGAGGTTACAAAGACCTATGAAATTTTTAGGGTCTTTCCATTGATCAAAAAATCACAAATTGTATATAAACATAGAGAGCTTTACTCGAGAAAGGTAAAGCCAGTTTGTATGGTATTGTGGGTTTGTTTTTAATTGCTTCACTTGAGCCGGGTTTTAGTGGTGAAATTTGGTGAGCTTTCTTAGGTTTTGGTGTGATGACACAGATCAAAATGCACGAGTATTAATCCCATTACCGATCAGATAAATCCGTAAAGAGCTCTTAGTTATTGATGCTTACCATTACTCACAATCGATGCACGGAAGCTGTTATCCCTTTTCTAAACATAGACGAAGCAAAACACTTTCTTTGGGAAAAAGAGCGACAGGTGCGAGAAACTTAAAAGAGTTTTTTCGCGTTTAATCGTTCATCTGTTTGATTACGACGACAGAATCTCGGCGGGAGCACAGTGGTGTTGGGGATTACTTACATCGCTAATCCCTTGTCTAAGGGTGAAGGACCTGTCTAAGCCTGGTCAAACACCAACCAAATGACACTTCAACGTGTCTGATTGATTTGCGGTTGGGAAATGACGTTTTTCCTTTTTTAATGCCTTGCACTGCAACTTTTGTTGCGCAAAATATCCAGTTGAATAAAGGTTCGTTCACCTGTTCATATGCGTTATTCCTTGTACAGCCTCATCAATTTTGTGATACAATTTCCTCTCGATTACGGCAGGCAATTTAGTCGTTGAAAGGAATTAGTCTCACAGGGATGTTTAGATCCGAGCTACAAAATAAACAAGTGAGGTTGAGTTTTGTGCCGGAGCCATTTCACAGCCGAACCTTTCTTTTGAAAATCCCTTTAATCTTTCTCAAGGTTAATGAGTGTCAACAGTTGTGAAAATCAACGACATTTTAAACTCTTCGACCATTATGTAAAACACAAGGGACGGTGGATCCTGAATTGTGTTTTTTGTTTTTGATTTCTAATCGATCATACATGACAGGCATGTCGTGACTGATAATACACACGTGTCTTGATTTGCTGTGTTTATTGTTTGCATTCATCGTAAAATATGCTTTTTCTCTTAGACCTAAATCTATGCTAAACTTCAAAACAAACATGACCCACGACCATCCTTTTAAAAAAAAAAAAAAAGATGTAGAGTTACCGAAGTTTGCCATCAGGAGTCTCAGAATTGAAAAGAGAAAACAAAAGAAATAATACTTATGTTAAAAATTAGGAAAACAAAGCCGAATGTTTGTCTAATAAACTTGTAGACTTCACTGTCTCGACGAATCTCGAGATTCCTTTCCTTTTTATGAAACCATTAACTTGCTTCATTTTCAGTCACGCTCTTAAGTGATGTTTTTCAAATCTCCTCATTTTATGGAAATCACGGATCCGTGCAGAGTTAAATTTCTATATTTAGTAATTAAAGTTCACATAGACCGCAACGGAAAAAATACTGTAGTCGGTTCACCACAAAGAAAATAGATTTACCGGAACATTACACGCCTTCAACCGATTCCTCTTGTGTTGTGATTAAATGCCGACATTTATTGAATACACCGCATCATTTAAAAGGCGAAATTTGGAGTAATGGCCAAAAATACACGTAACAATAGAAATAGAAGACATTGACTGGCGCATGGGGGCCAAGGCCAGAATTCCCTTTCGCTTCATACTGCATTCATAGCCACACCTGACCAGGTGTCTCTATATCTCTCAGTGGTCAACAACTGTTTCACGGTGGGTGACGTAATTTCACATGGAGACAGAAATTTAAGCGGTGTCTGAACAGTTTTTAAAGCAGCCCTGAGGAATCTAGAAAGAACATCCATCTGCTTATTTTGGACCGACATTGTTGAGTTACGACGGGTTGAAACCCATAATTAAAAAACAGAGAAAACCATTAGTGTTTTCTTTTCCAATGGGTTGCGTGCTTCAGTTCCTTTTAAGAGTTTCTTGAAAGACTCTTTTATGAGGCATTGTGTGGCAGAATCGTAAATGATGCATTAACTGTATAATAGGTATTAGACCTATTTACCAAGTCATGCATATGTCTTGTCGAAAAGCTTGAATCGTTTTTTTCTGTTTTCTTTTTACTTTTCAAGAGTATTCAAATGTAAACTAAATGGCAAGCATCAATTTTACAATACTTTGTCGTTTTTAATGGTAAGATTTGTCGAGAGAGATGTCCATCTCTTTCGTTGTAAATTTACTGATATATCCCGCCAAGATTGGATAGCGTTTACAGGAAATCACAGTACCAAAGCTTTCATTTATTCTTTCCATCGACATGATCGATGCAATGTTTATTCTAATGTGATTGCAGCATTTACTCAAGTTGTCGGTAGAAAGTGTATCTTCCACTTTTCTCCCAGCAGGAGATCTAGGTAACGTTAACTATTATCAAGAGTTTCGCCTTCGGTGTCTTAATATCGTTGTATTTATTAATCTCCTTTCGAGGACCTTTTAAAGGAGTTTCGTGCGTACGTCATTATTTATAATGTGCCAAACTACCTTCAGCTAGCAGGAGACTATCAAGTGTTTGTTCTGTCGGATGGAAATACTCAAAAGAGCTTATGGGCAGACTATTACGAAACAACGTTGGCTGAGGATGGAGATTGCGAAAAACAAACCGGAAAATTGAGCGGAAAATTTTAGGCTGTACAAAGCGTTACTCAGGTTCTTTGTTGCTATTATAGCCTAGACATACAAAGGCAAGCTAAACAACAATCAGTAACTGTGGCAAATAAAACTTAATGAAATACAGGAAACAAGCGTGCTATCGCAATGAAAGAAAAAAAGAAAGGGTTAAACCTCTCCCCTCCCCAAGTAATAACAAAATCATTGAATCCTGTATATTGCACAACATATATTCGCTTTTCTCACGATAAAGAGATTTAGAGCTCTCATTCTATTACGATAAACTTGCAAAGTTTGTCCATCGAACAATTTTCAATCGAATAGTGAAAGTACTTGTGATATCGAGCCTTCGTGAACACTACCTTCACAATAGTCACGGAACCCAATTGACAACGCTCTTTACACGCCTTGTTGGTGGCTAACCGTTGTGCTTTTTTGGTGAATGTAAACCTGTCACATTGCTTTCAGTATTTCTTCTCTGCAATTTTACTAGGCCACCTCAGGCCAAAGCCATGTGAGGACAACTTTTTTTTGTCACTCTGTAAGTAATAAAGTTCTGTAAGTAATAAAGTAGGGATCAGTCATCAAAAAGCTAAACTTTCTGCACAACACGAAAATGTGACACGGCCTTCTTCATGGAAAAGTTCTACTTGTTCCTCACGCCCATAATAGCAAGCATGATTAAGGTACTGAGAGGGCAAGTTTGTAAAGAAAATGACGCAGCACTGCGAGGGGTTAAATTCAGAGCGGTAAATTTTGTTTTCTTGTTATAAGTTGGGTGATCAATCAAGTCAGCAGTAACTTTCTTTAAAACGAATGTTGTGTCATTTCCCAGTGCAGGGATGGAAAGGGGCGTCGGAAAAGCGAATTAAGGGAGCTCTCTTACAAATGATATAAACTGCCAATTTTCTCTAATACCCCATTCACACCAAAGCTTAAACATGTTTTAAAGTTGTTTTGTTATACTAGTAGAACCATCTTTACCTAATATTTCCTACTTAAAATATAGCACATTGGAAATGCAAGTTAGCAAGTACTTGAATCCTACGCAAAATTAAATTTTTCCAGTTTTCTCTTTGTGATTTTCATTCAGTAAAAGTCAATTTAACAAAACGTGTTTTGCTGGTGTGAATAGGGTATAAAATGCGAGTTTACGTAAGATAAAGGAACATTAGATAACGTTGGGTAGAATCGCAGTGGAGAGACTATTTCAGACACAGGTAGATGTGATTCATTCAATCTCATGGGTTGAACAAATTCTAGACGAGTAGAGTGGTAAAGGTAATTTGAGCCCTGATGTTTTATGATCATTTAGCTAAGCAGAGAAGGATTTAGTGTCCAATTTCTCTGGTCTTATTTTTTCTTATTTTATCAACAGATTCCTTTCTCCTGTTACACACTTTTCTCAATATTTTAGCTGATTGAGCAACATGCGTTACAGAATTGAAAATTTATTTTATAGTCTCAGGTGTAGATGTAGCATAAAGCAAGCTGTTTCATGACCATGATTTTTTAAATGAATCTAAAAGTTAGGTAAAGTTGCTGCAATTATTTATTTGTTCACTGTTGCCTGTACTTCTGTTCCTAGCTTAAGATGTATTGTTTCCAAATTTTTTCTCAAAGATTTCCCACTGCATCTTTTGTCCCTAGAAAAGTTATATGAATTGTACTTCATGTGACTGTTGAAGTCAGCAGAAGGAAAATACTCTGCAAGAGCTCATCGAAAGTTGGTTGTTATGTAAAAAGTAAGCTGTCTGCAGGCTTTTCAAAGTGTAGTAAAATCTTATGTTGGGTTGTAACTGGATTTTTAAAGAAAGAGGCCCATGCAAAAAGTTTGTAAGTGGCCTTGTAAGTATTGACTGTAGGGATAAATCAGAGCATCGAAAGGCTCTACTTCGCGGCATGCGTACGTTTTATAGCAAATCAATTGCATATCTGCAGTCTTACCTCCCATGTTAAAAACCCCTGAAGAAGGAAAGTGCAAGTGGTGTGAGGGCAATTGCAAGTCTGGCAAAAACATAGCAGCTTCAGTTGGATGTCCGCATTCTTCAAGATGAGTGGTAGGCTTATTCTGTCGATGAAGATGTTGAGCAGTTAAATAGATCAGTCAGTTGACCATTTATGGCCCTTCGTATTCAATCTTAAGTCTCCTAATAGTATGTGGAGCATATATTGTCAAAGTGGAGCTTATTCTTGCACGGACAAATGCTGAATCAGGAAGGAGTCTTTCGCAATGCCTGCGTTGTGACACAAGGAAGGACACTCTTTGAAGAGAGGACCATCGTTGGCCTAAGAGTTGTTAAAGACGCTCGGGAGTTTGACGATCCAAGGAATTGAAAACAAGAGAAAATTCCCCTTACGGATGGCCTTTTAGCTGCGGTACGTTCTCCTAACATATGGGCGTCTCATGATGGGTAGAGCGAAATCAAATGAAGAAAAGGCAAAGAGGAAGCTTGAGGCAGTGAGAGAAGAGCAAAAGAAAATCAATTACAAAAAGAACATGAAACCACTGGAAAAAGCTCTATCAACTAGTGTTTGTGCTTCCTCTTCATCAAAGTCAAGAAAGCCAAGTTCCTACAGCAGTAAGCTACTATGACGATCAGGATTATAAGGAAGTCAATTACGCAAAGAATCAGAAACCACTGGAAAAAGCCCTGTCAACGAGTGTTTATGCTTCCTCATCAAAGAAAAGAAAGCCAAATAAAGGGTAAAGTGTCGTCGCTAAGTCATGCTAAAGGGGAACTATCGTTTCCAAGTTCAATTAAGAGTGAACTTTGGTCGTTTTATGTCAAGTTTAGAATGAAATGTGGCTTTAAAACTTCACCGAGGATCTATTATGTTTGCTCAGTGTTGTCTGCTGGTTTGATGTTAAAAGATTGAAAAGACAGCACATAATTTGAAACTGGAGTAGTTCAGCGGGTATTTTTCAAAACCAGGGAATTTGCATTGAGTAATTTAATATGGAATTCCAAGTCGTCTTTCAAAGAAAAGGTGTAAATATCTAATCTTTGTAGTGGTATTGGTTTCCTATGTTATCCTAGTTTTGGGAATAAAGTTCCCATTTTCCAACTTTTTCAATTATTTTCCTATTATTTGCAATTGTGAGTGTCCTAAATTCGTATATTTTGAATTGCGAGTTTCGTATTTTTCTGAACAATCTTGTTGCTGGACACCCTGGAAGGATAACCTCGCCCAAGCAAGCAGAGAGCAGGTTGCCTTAAAAGAATTAATTGATGCCTTGGTGGGTTTACACGGCAAAATCGAATCGAAAAGTTTTTTAATTTTTTAGGGTGGTTGTAGAAGTTTTGGCACAGGTTTGGAAAGCCGAGTTTTGTTATGCATTGTTTCCATCCTAATTATCATTGAAGCATTTAAAACAAACGGAGAGTCTTATGGGGGTGCCAGTTAGATTTTGTTAAAGTTCACCAGGAATTCTCAGTATTTTAAAATGCAGTGTTACATGTTGTGTGATTTAATTTTCAGAATCAAAATAACGATTTGACAAGTTCATGATGGTACGAGTCCTTCAAAGAGAAACTGATTCTTTACTTGGCACCTCTCTGATAGTAAAATCCACAATTAAATTGGCGAACGGTGAAAATCTCTTGTGAGTATCGTGCCCTTGACGGATTTTAAAACACTATTTCTTAAGCGTTATCGTTGATGTCGACTTTTTTATCACTACATTTATTTACGACAAATTAAGTCATTACTTGTACCCGTTGTCTTTTCATTATCATTGAAACATGGTCCGGTGTATCGGGGATTAAAAGAAGTAAAGAGGAGAAAAAAACAAATCGAAGCAAGTTTATTTCAATTATGGCCAGAGTGTGGTAACTTTGGTTGAAAGATGTTGTGCTTACCATAATCAGACTGAAAGAGGACAAAGTGTCAGAAAGCAGTAGATACCGTCCAAAATTGAGCTATAGCGCCCGAAAATGGTCTAAAAAAAACTCCGTTGACGAATGACAACGTACAAAATCGGAGGGAAGTGTCCCAAAACGGACAGCAACGGCTATAGTGTCAGGAATCGGACAATATTATCCAAAATCGGACGAGAGCGTCAAAAATTTCACGAAGGTATCTTTAAATTGACAGTAGTATGAAAAAGGGAGGATATCGTCAGAAATCTGACGAAAGTGTCAGTAATGGATCGATGGCATCCGAAGTGGAGCGATAGCGTTCGAAATTGGACAATGAAGTCAGAAAGAGTGCATTAAGATCCCAAGAGCAGATGTATTGTTAAGACAGTACAACTAGTTAGGTGTTTTCTCGAGGCTACAAGTGAGAGAAAAATGCCACTATATGGAATTACTGCAGTACTCAAGCACGATATGTAGTAATTCGAGCAAAACGTATGATTAAAATGACTGCTGATAGTTCCAAGGGTTGTGTCCTCAGTGATTTGGGAGGGTCTGGGAGGAGGCCGTAAGAGGGGGGGGTGTTCTGGATACAGAGTGGGCGAGTTTTGGTGTCATTTGACGAGAACGTTTTGTGGAAAACTGCGCCCCCTCCGTCTTTGAAGTCTCAGGGTTATTACTCTATCATGAGCAATACAACGTAAGCAGGCTCTGATTGGTTGGAAGCGTTTGTCTGGCAAATGCAAAGAATCGAGGACGTAGAATTTTGAATTTGACTCAACTTTGACGTTCTTTATGACCAGGAAAAGGTATAATTGGTCTAGATCTGCGTTAAGGCCAAGACTAGATCGTAGACTTGAGAAAACTTGAACCTTCAAGGGAATTTAGAAAGGGTTGGCGAGTTTTCGGTAGATCGGGTCAGTAGGTGGTTGAGAAGTAATAACCAGAAAGAGAGGAAAAAGGTGTTTCCTTTAAATTTTTTTTTAGTACATTATACATATCAATCAAATTTAATTAGAATTTTGAGAAGTCGAGTCAAAGTGGAAAATTTCAGTTAAATATTTGAAGGTGCAATGCGTGGTATTGAACTGGTATTGAAAAATTTTGTGGACTGAAGCACTATTTTTTTGACTTGTCAGGTATCGACTCATATTTTCGAGGTATCCGCGGTAAGATAATGTAGGAAATGGCCAGAAGGGAAGCCAAATCAGATAAGGTAAGGCATGTAGCCTCGATTGTTCTCCATTCTCCCGTAAGGCACGTAATAATCAGTCATGGCAGTGAGGAATAGAAAACCGTACTAAACTACAAGAAGGGGGTATATTACACCTTTTCTTTGCCGTCAGCGCCTTTTACAATAAACATGATCAGAGAGTCAAGGTTTCTCATTTGTTAGAGGTTTGTCAATAAGAATAGTAGTATTACAGTGATTCGTGATTTTTTACCGTCTTCTTGCCATATTGCCATCATACACAGAAAATTCCTTCACGTCAAATAACAATCTGATAATGTCACATAGTACATGACGAGATCAAGGGGCTGAGAAATAAAGGGGAAAACGGGTGTTTTAGACAATGTAATAGCTGAGGTAGTGTGCATCGTGCATCTTAATTGACAAAGCGTTTTAAGTGTGCTGTGCTTTCTTTATTTGTGCTTTTAATCGTTATGCCCTATCCAACTTTTTTTCCTTTTCTGGAGATAATGTTTTGTTTGTTCACTGTTTTTATTTTGTTGGCTCGTTTTTACTATGTTTGTTTGGTTGGTTGGTTGATTGTATTAGCGAGAGTTCGTCTTTGTTCCTCTTATTATCTCCCATTGTCTCCCAATCGAGTTAAACTGAAAGCTTGAGGATATTTGATTGTTCAAGCATGTAAGGTTTCCACCGACTTTCCCTCTTGGGAAGCAGCCAGTGTATATCTCTTATCCGAAAGGACTCTTACTAATTTGAACCACGCAGCTTTCTGGAACATTTTTAGACCCTTAGGCTAAATATGGGGGGCTTTACGTACATCCTGAGCGGAAATTCTCTTGTCGAGATTGCTTCTTGTTGCGGCTTGAAAGAAGGCGTCTTGGCCAAAGTGGCTCAGTTACTGTTCTGTGGTAATTATGCTCTGCAAAACATTAAATAAAATACTGATTTAACGGCAGGATGCTAAACTGACCATGAGGTATATTTGTCATTCGAGAATTTTGTAATATATTGTAAACGGTATTTTTCTAGTTAGGGAAACATCCCTTTGCCAGAACACCAACCAGTAGGGTCCGTATAATGGGCTGTTGCCTCTTGTCTCTGCTCGTGCAGCAGAGATGAATTTCGTTGCCAGCGTATCCGAACGTTCCATCGTCATTATTTCTTCATTTAACGAGGAAGATGGCATTCTAATATTGCACTGACAGATGTTCAAGTTCTCGACGAGAATGTCCAACGTCTGATGATGATCGGGTGTGGAGAAGTGTTTACCAAGGGCAGAGAATCTTCATAGAAGCTTAAGCACCATAGACATCGTTTCTCTTGCCTATCAAATCTTCGACTCTCAGATGGAGAATTTGAACAGTTATCAACAGGTCAGTGTAGAAATTCTTACGTTTCCAACTCAGAAATGAAACATATGCAATTAATTTCCGGTAGGTTACGCTTTATTCAACTTAATACCTAATCTGTTTCAAGTGTTATTACAACCCCTCCTATTTGAAGTAGGGTCAATATCGGCAGTAATTAATTGTTAGTTATATATAATCCTAATTGAAAGCTAACAATATTTCCCTGCATACTCTGAGACTTTCTTTTAATTAGAGAGGTTCTGTTTAACAATTGAGGTTTGAGGTCTGAAATAGTCTTATTCTGTTTCAACGACCATAGTCCAAGAATGACATGGACAACTGACGTACATGCTTTCGCCAAAAGATCTGCTACAACAGCTTGCCAAAATATTTACTAAAAATTATAAAGTGAAAACCACAAGATTCGTCACCTCCCAGGTAGAGCATCATAGAGCCACTCTTCACGTTTTTGCGGCATTCGTATCATGCTGTGAATATATACCACAACACGAATGTTTTTTCGTGTCATATTGTGACAAACAATGCCGTACTGTTGTTTGAATGTTGACCTCTGTGAGTCTCTTAGCGACTAATGTATTCTCGTCTATCCCTTTGAGGTTACATATTTTTAAGGAAATCGCATTAACTGATCTAAGCCACGTTTATGGACAGTTTGATGTGTTATATCTTAAGCAGTTCCTCAAGCAGTTCGCGGTATACTTACCAGAGCAAAAGGGGATTAAACTAGAGTCTTGTACATTCAATTCCAGACTGATTTATTTATGATAAAGTTCGATAGCGTACTCTGTATTCCTTTTCAAACTTACTTGTAAGTTTTTCTCTGTTTTGCAACGAACGATACATTTATAGGAGAAGAGTTACCAGCGTAAACTGTCATATTCATATGATGTGGTAAAGCAGCAAAAATTAAACGAA